GTAAATGATGGTGCAGAGTCCCCATACACAGAATCCAACTCATCTTTGATTTGCGTAGGCGTATTGCCTTTCAAAAACAAATATTTAATGACAGCTCGATACTCGATTTTGTCCATTTTCACAAAAACACTCACATCAACTTACTCAAACGACTGTTACATAACAACTGCGAGTCCAAAATGGCTGAAACTTCGGTGAGTAACTGTCAACAGATGAACAACGAAATTCACTAGCTTTTATTTACAAGTGCTGCTATCTTCACGTTGAGGTCGGAAACTTTTCAGACCACCCTCGTATAATCTCCAGAGAAAGAATATTCTTCTAAAATATTCTTCTAAAAAAGAGATATAACACTCAAAAGAAAAAACTTTAGTTGCAAAGTGCTATTTTTTGTATTTCCATACTCAAGTAGAAAAAATAACCTTCCTCTCTAGCCAATAACTAATCAGAAATTCTGGTTACTAGTTAATTTCTGGCCAGTTTAGACATTTACTTTGTCAATAGCTACGCAGTAAATCTAGTCAGTTTCTGATTCTAATTCTTAATCAGTATTTTATCAGTTTCTAACTAAATTTTTTTTTACAAAACTCTGTTAAATATTTTTTATCGTTTGATTCCACACACATAAAATACTTTATTAAGATATTTTATTATGCAATTTAATAAAATAATATAAAACTCATGTTTCAAAAGATAGTATTTTCTCGCATGCAAATTCATTAATTACTGAAATGGTTATAGTTATAGTTATAGTTAAGTTATAGTTATAGTTATAGTTATAGTTATAGTTATAGTTATAGTTAATGGTTATAGTTTTATTTTTAATTATTATTTCTTCTTACCTAGTTTCTGACTAGCAATTGACCAAGAAAAATTGGCCAGTATTTTCTTGTCCAATTTCTGACAGTTACTGTCTAATAAATCCTAGCCAATTTTTCTATATTCTAACTTTTTTCCTTTTAAATCTATAGGAGTATGTTTGCTTGAAGTAGAAATCCCTCTTATTAGAAGAAATTTCTATGAAAAACAAGACTTGTAAATAAAAGATAAAATCTCCCCAGTTTTAAAAATGTTATGCTTACATATAGAAAAATATATTTCTATCATTAAAAAAGGCCATTACTCAGTTTATTTTCTGCTTTTAAGTAATGGCTATTTTCAACAAAGAATATTTTCTTGATAATATTCTTAAAATATACTCCTCATAAATATGAGAAGAATATATTATTGTGTACTGAAAAGAAAAATTTATTCTCTTTATAAGAATATTATAAAATTCTATCAAAGAAATGTTGATTTTATTCCATATAATAATAAGTAAACCGCAAATATTTATTTCAATTTAATTTTCTTGATTGAAGTGCTAACTTCCTAAGATTCAGAATATATTTTAAGAGAATTTAATGGAATTATGATAAACTTATGATAGATTTGCGGATATATAAAATGCTTGTAAAACAAATAACATTTATTTTTATTTGAATGCAGTGTGCATTTTTCTGTGTATAGAATATTCTTCTTCTTCTTTTAAAAGAATCCTCTTGAGACCATATATAAGAGGATTTCGCTAAAGATTATAAAGATTATATATTTCTGGGTGTTATCTTAAAACTATTCAGAATCTCAAGAATTTTCTGTCTTTCAACTTGAAATTTTTAGTCTATATGTAACTTGGACGTTAGAATCACATGCTCCATTTACTAAACCGCTTTTAAATTGGTCCACATTATTCGAACATGACATTTCAATGTGTGTCACTTTGTTATCGAGCAATCAAGTCAGTATTTGCGAGTCGTATCTTCTTGTGCCAAAGAACTTCCTCTTTGTCTCTCACTCTTTCTCTCTCGCGCGCGCGCGAATTCCATTCTAGCCATGAGAAATTTGTGAAACGCGGTGGCGCGCATATCTTCGAAAATATACGGTATTAAATCTTCCGTCTTAAAAAGATTCGCCACATTCGCATTATTTAGCACATTCTTCTGTTCTTAAGGTGTTCATGTGCATCCGCGCTCTCAGACACGACCAACAAAGCCGAGGTAAGACAACTGTGAATTTCAGCAGTAAATAAGAGAACATTCTTCACTCGAACGCTTCACTGCGGAAGGATTTCGCTTCGGGGACGGGTAACGAGCGGAGTGCGACACTTTAGGGAACATAAATTTTGGGTAACTTAATAAAACGGTCGCCACGCGAAAACGAACGTATTGCATTCGAGCGCGCGCCCCGATCGCGGAGAGCTGTAAGACAAAAAATAAAATAAAGAAAAACATTGTGAAGAATGTGCGCGAACGTAAACAGAGCGTATAGTTTAATTGAAGTTCAAGCAACGCCAACATTTATCTAGAATACATTTTCATCAATACATCAACAGCTAAATCACGGCCTGTGAATATCTATAAATCGTTATTGTGCATCTATTAGACATTATAAGCTTTTTTCTC